AGCAAGACCAAATATAAAAGCATGCCCTGTTATATGATTACCTCTTGAAAGCACCCTCAAGATCTTCCAATGTCTTCAAAGTTGTTTTGCTCTTCTCAAGTTGATTGCTAAGGTTTGAAATCTTCAAGACAAAATCACATATTCATTCAGCAAGAGCATTCTTATTACTTCAGTCTCTCTCTATATGTTCTCTCACGTTAAATACTCCAACTAATAAATTCCTCACTTGACACTTTCTAAAGTGCAACTCAAATTTGGATATAAAGTAAACCTGAAAATTAAATCCTTCATGTGTGCTTATTAAGTTCTCTTGATCTTCTCCTTCTCTAGAGCAAAAAGCATGGCAATTCCCCTGCTTCATACTCTAAGACAACACGTTCAGAAAGACAATGTGGCATAGAATCTACCATTGAATTACACATAAAAAAGAAAAGATATGGAATCTACCATTGAATTATACATATAAAAAAACATTGCGGTATAGAATCTACCATTGAAGTATACATATATAAGAAACATTGAAACAACAGATGGCATGTTAAGAATAATACTCTCTCCGTCCCACCCCAAAAGGCACTCTTGCTTTTTGGGAGGAATAAGGTTAAATTTAGAAGTGATTTAAAATGTAGGGTGAATAGGTTGAAATAAGAAAGAGAGTGTAAACGTGATTGAAAAGGTAAGAGTGTGTAATAAGTGATTGAAAAAGTAAGAAAGAGAGTGTAAAAGTTACTGAAAAGATAGAAAAAAGTGATTAAACAGATAAGTGATTGAAAAGATAAATTAGTTGTGTCGAATTTAAGAGAGCATCTTTTGGTTGGGACAATCAAAATGGCAAGAGTGCCTTCTGGCACGGGAAGGAGGGAGAAGAATGGTAAAAAAATGTTAGGGAAAATCTTCATCTTTCATAAATTCTCTTCTTTGCAAGACATATCGAAGTGTAGACCATTTTATACAATAAGTATTAAATATAGAATGAAAGAACCTGTGATTCCAAAAGGTCCAACGAACAACGTAAGCCTTCGATTTCACCTTCCAACTTTCCAGATTCTAAAAACACAACAAAAAACAATTTAGACATATAAGAATCCATGGGAATAAGGAACTCATGCATAAGCTGTTACAACACCTTCCACATATCTTCTCGAAAATTCCTCGATTTCCATTGACACTTTTTCATTTTCACTCTCCAAAGAGCTTAGCTCATTCTTTAAATCTCCCACAAGCTCATCTGCAATTATAAATCACAGTGGCAATACCAACAAATCAGACATAATTTCCCAGACACACATTAACACTATGTTTGGCTCAAGGATTTTGGAAGGAAAAGAAAAGAAAATGGTTTTCTCTCATTTTCCTCACCAAAATGGAAGGAATTTGATTTTCCCTCCACTTGGTAAATTTTGCCTCCTCATTCTCTTTTCCTTCCACTTTTCCTTTCTTTTCCCCTCTAACCAAACAAGAAAATTGGTTTTCCACTTTATTTTCTTTTCTTTTCCCTTTCAAATTCCTTGAACCAAACATAGTGTAAGGATGCTGAGAAACTGAGAGAGGCAGCCCTTTACCTAAATCTCTATCAGCTAAAAGGTCTATATCTGATGTATCAGATAATATTTGATTAAATTTGCTCTGCAATATGAATTCAAAAAAAAAATCAACAATTCAACATGCGGAGACAAAAGTAAAATCCTAATCTAACAATATATCCACCGATTGAATTTGAGATATGTATAGTACATAAGAGCAGTATGCGTGGTATTCACGCTATTCTGAATAACAAACCTCGAGGTGAAGAGCACAATCGTTTAGAAATTGCTCCGAATCTGAAGAGGAGAGATCGGGAGCTTCATCGGACTGTTTCAACACATCTCTAAGCTCCAATATTCGACTGCAATGGTCTGGGAAATCAATATAAACCCGAAAAAAAACTAAAAATTGATTTCGTATGAGTTTATCTAGGTATTAAGAGAGACCTGCGCAGTGAATCGAGATTAAGAGGTGTGGAAGAAGATGTAACAAGGGTTTGGTCCGCCATTTTCCTTCGCGTTCTCCAGTTGTATTCTCCCAATTTCCCTGCAAAATCTTTGTTCAGTTCCCCTCTCCTTCACACAGCTTCAGCCTGCCTTGTACGAGTATATTCGAAAATCCCGCCATCAGTTTTGAAATGGAGAGATACGGGAAGGAATGGATAAAAATGAAGGTACCAACTCCAAAATCACTTTTTATTGGAAGAACCAAAAACAATGACATTGTAAAACTATAACAAAGATAGGATGAATTTTTATTTTGGTCTTAAAATACTTAATATTTTATTTTGATATATTTTTATTTTTTTATTCTTATCCAGGAAGATTTCTTCTTTTTAAGAAAAAATCACTCAAATATTCTAAGCAATTTATGATTTTACGTTAATACTCTGAAATTGAATAATTTCCCCCGTTGCTCCCAATAGTTTTTTAGTTAGTACCAATACTCTAGACTACTAACGAAGCAGAATACGTGCATTTTAAATGATGACAGTAAACTATTAAGTATGTGTTGGTAACTACAGAGTGATAAAAAATAAAAGAAAATAATATTTCAAACAAAATAAAGAATTTTAAAGTACATATTTCATAATCAAATTTATATTCGTTGAAAAAATCTTTAAATTATAAATTTTGGACTATATAAACTTTAAAATTCTCTAATTTTTTATTTGAAATAGTATTCATATATAATTTATCCACTTAAAATATAAACATTTTATTTTTTAGCTTTAACAGTTAACACATTTTTATTTCAAATCAACATAGAAAGGCAACTATAACGCATTCAAGGTATTTTCTTTATTTTTGTAATTGATTACCAACTCATACTTAATTAATAAGAATCCAGTAGTCGTTTAAAGTGTCACGTATTCAACTTAGTTGATAGCATGGAGTATTGGTGTAAAATTAAGTAATTTCTAGAAACAGTGGTGTAAATTATTTAATTTCGGAGTAGTATCAAAAAATCAAAAATTTATTAGAGTATTAATGTGAACTTTTCCTTTTGTTTAACTTCAATAATTTTAGTTTGATTACTTTGATTAAAAAAATTAGTTATCAAAAAAAATAATTCTTGTCACTTCAATAATTTTAGTTTGAAACTTCAATAGTTTTTTCTTTGACCCATACAAGAATACTTTAGAAATCAAGACTGAAGCTCATTCATAATAAATCATAAGAACTAAATTACTTTACTCCAAAAAAATATACTTCGACTTATACACTACGAGTATACACCTTCATTTTGTGTAAGTGTGATGCTAGAGTAATGGTTCACACACACACAAAATGTTAGTGTAAATTTTTTATCACTCTAGCATATGGTACGAGTCTGAACCATTAAAATATTAGTGCGTAGTTATAGTGTATACTTTGGAGTACATTCTACGAACTCGCCAAGCGCGAGAGTGTATAGTAGAACACAGGCAATGGCAAGTAACGAAATGGAATGTCACACGTTGACGTGACGCATTTCAACCAATAAAAGATAATCTAGTCAGCGTGTGGCAAGTGAGTGGAGAGGCATCTCGTGCAGTGGCAAGTCATTGTTTTTGTCAATTTTTATGTTTTTTCAATGCATTTTAATTATTAAAAATTATTTCATTTATCTTTTTTTATATAGATGTACTCTTTTTTTTAAATTTATTTTTCTAATAAAAAATAAAATAAAAATAAAAAAAATTAAAGATGCCTCGCGCCTCACACGCTTGGCGTGGAGGGAGGCTGAAGACACGCGAGGCAAATTGGCGAGGAAGCTGATGTGGCGCAACGAGCGAGGCAAATGCCTCGCCGCTGCGCATGCTCTTAGGGACATGGTTTGCCTTATCTATGTCATGGCAGTCGACCCAAAATTCAAGAAAGGCATTAGTGTAAACGGTAACACTATGTTTGGTTCAAAAAATTTGAAAAAGAAAAAGAAAAAAAAATGAAGTGGAAAATAGTTTTTTTGTTTGGTTAGAGTAGAGAAAAAAGAAAAAGTTGAAGGAAAAGAAAATGAAAATACAAATTCACCAAGTGGAGGAAAACCAAATTCTTCCCATTTTAGTGAGAAAAATAAGAGAAAAACATTTTCTTTTCTTTCCCTTCCAAGTTTTCTTGAACAAAACATAGTAAAAGATAATTATTTAGGTCTTTTGAGTCAGATAATTGGAAGACTATCCAAATTTCTTGGAAAAATCACTTTAAATAACAATAAAACATAGAAAAAGTACAGAAATAAGAACTATACGTTTTTATCCATAAAATAAGAATTTGCATTGTGATAATGTGACATTGTATATATGGACATTTCATAATATTTTTGGTAATGTATATGGTCATAATTAATATTGTAAATGCATTTTAACTCCTATTTCGAGAATAAAAACATAGAACTCCTATTTCAATATATTTTTAATATTTTACTTTTGCTTTAATATTTTTCATTAATATTGAGTCCACCCATGACTTAAAAACACCTCTTCCTTAATCCTTACATATAGGATGGAACGTTTTATTATTTTACGTTCAATCAATATACAAATTTACACTTTTCCCTTTAGATTGCTCTCTCTCTCTCCACCCAATATCTTGGTGCTTTCATTGATAAATCCCTAATTAGAGGATTATTCAAATAAATAAAAAGTACTAGTAGATAAAAATGTATGGTGGAGAAAGGGGTGGGGGACAAATGGGGTACACCAGATAGTATACTCCTAGCATTGCTTTTATTCAATCTCTCAAATTAAAGTACACTTTAAAGCTTGACCCAAGAATTCAAGCTGAGTTTTAAGTATGGATAGCAACTACGTAGTACATGGTATGAGGAAGTATTTTTCTTCATCATTGTCTAACTAGACAAAGTACCGTAGACGTCTATGTACTATCTAAAAATGTTCAAATTAGTCCTTATACTCAAAATCAAATCAATTATATTTAGTCCTATTCTTTATTTTTGTTCAATCAGACCCTTCTATTCTCTTGTCTCTTCTATATCATCTTGTTCTCCCTTTCTTTTCCATTAGTAATTCTCTAATAATGAAATAACTCTGATATTCTCTCGAGTGACCCTCAATAAACTCGCAATTTCATAACATATCATGCTTGAACAGATTAGCGCAATAGATGTTTAAAACTCAATTAAATAATTAATGTGAGAACGAAAAACGAGACAGCGAGAGAGAGAGAGAGTGACATTTTTTCAATGGCTAGCTATTCCTCGCTGTTATATACTCCGTATCAATGAACTCCCAATCTTCCATATCGAACGCAACGTGGTCTTCTTCGTCGTCGTGACAAATGCCGTATCTGGAAGCCATGCGTTTCAGCTTAGACGGCATTGCGAGCACCAGCCACGGTTCTTCGAGCTCGCACACATTGCCCTTCTCCACTTTCTTCCCATTCTTCTTCTCTTCTTCGCAATTCACCTCCGTTTTTGCGGGATCTGATTTTCTTCCATTGCTACCCTCCATTTTGATCACTGGCTTCGTCTTCTTTACGTCATAAAAAGAACTTCTCATTTAGCTTTAAAAGTAAATTATGTATTAAAAAATTTACGAATTAATTGAAACACTAAATTTATACTGAAGGACTTTAGAAAGTCACTCATATATATGTGACATGTTTTAACATTAGTTAAGAGAAAAGTGGACCGTTTACCCCTGAATTCTATAAAAATTGAACAGTTTACTTCTGAATATTTAAAATTGCACCGTTTACCCCCAAACTCTTCAAAAAATGCACGATTTATCTTTAAACATTAAAAAGTACACCAAATACCTCTGAACAACTTAAAATATTGCACACTTACATGATTATAGAATACTTGGATAGATAATATGCAAGCCATCCGAAAAGTTCGGGAGTATTTCGTGCAATTTTAAATGTAGTATAATAGGACTAATGGTGCAATATTTTAGGACTAACGGTGCAATGTTTAAAATGGCTCATAGGTATTAAGTGCATTTTTAAATTTTCAGAAGTAAACCATGCAACTTCTAAAGAGTTCAGGAGTAAATGGTGCAATTTTAAATGTTCATGGGTATACCATGAAATTTCTGGAAAATTCTGGGGTAAATGGTGCTCTTTTATCCATTAGTTAAGTAGTTCTCTCATTATCTAAATCAGAATTGTGTGTTTGAATGGAAAGAAAAAAAGTGAATAAAATGATGAATGAATAAAGTCAGTAAATTTTAAATAGCATATCATCAAACATCATTATGGAAATTGAGAGCATGGAAAAAATTGCGGAGAATTACTGTAATTAGAAAAACTTACTGAGCTTGGAGATTCATAAATTAAAACATTACAGTCGATGAGAGTTTTTACCTCAGATATTTACCTAGTGTTACTTGTTGAGTGATGAAGAGAATTAATCCCAACGCTTGAAATATAAAATGGAGCCAGGGCATTTCGACCGTTCAACTCCACCCGACGCTTCAAATTCTTTATAGAATAAAAATAATGTGCTTCCAATTAATACAATGTCACATTCATTTAATGTTTGATCAATTGGCAAATATCTTTTGACATCAATAATTGGCAAATATCTTTTGACATCAAATACTAATGTCATACTCCTTTTGTCTCTAAAAGATTATCACAATTTAAATTTTTTGATTAAAATATAGTATCTTTTAACCATGACTTAAATATAGTTTGAAATGATTAAATATTATAAACAATTTTTCTCACTAAAAATGCTCTTAATATATAGTCATATAGATATTTTTAACGAAATAATTCTTTTGACCTTAGATTCTCGTGTCATGATGCCCCTACGGTGCTTCGTTCGTAAAATTGATTGGTTCCTCCCCCCTAAACGTTACCCCTCTGCCCCTACCTACCCACCCCACCACAACACCCCCTCCCCCATTTTGCCGACTGGCTACAGTAATACTGTAGCCAATTCAATCGGTAAAATGGGGGAGGGGGTGCTGTGGTGGGGTCACTGGGGTGGACAGGTAGGGGTAGAAGGGTAAGGTTTAGGAGGGGTTAGGGGGGGGTAAAAACCATAAATTTTACTCCTTCCGTCCACAAATAAACTTTACGTTCACTATTCACATGGTCAAACTTTATTCACTTTGTTGGCCTATTTTCGTCACCCATTTAATAAAATAATATAGTCATGTCACCTCTAGTTTTGTAGATCTTTTGATATAGTTTTTTAATATGTAATTTTTATTTTTTAATTCTACACCATTTTTCATATAAAATGATTTGAAAATAACTTCAGTCAAACATCGTAACGCGTAATGTAAAATTTAATTTTGGACGGAGGGAGTACAAAAGAAACACCGTAGGAATCCGGGTCATATTATGACTTTGGGTTCCAAAGTCAAAAGATCCCCGCCGTCTTTTTAATTTCGGTAAATTTAGTATCCAGGTACAAAATCTAGTACTCCGGTATCAAGTAAAGTTAGCTTATAAAATCTCTTAGTTTTGAATTTTATGGTGCAAAGGTATTTTGAAAAGGCGTCAAAATTTTAAAAACTTTAATGGACTGAGATTTGGTCAAATTTCTATGAAAATGCTTCCTCATTTTTAAATCAACCATTGGAGCAACATATTGATGAAATAGAAGAGACATCAGATTTTGAATCTTTAAAAGTTAGGTCGGATTAAGTAAGAGATTTATAGATTATTGTCCAAAAAGTAAATTCCATAATTGGTCCTTTATAACATGGGGGTTTCCATATTTAGTCCTGTATTATCAAATATTACCCTCGTAGTCCTTTTTTTAAGGGTACCCTTCCACAAATGGTCCTTTTTTTTATCTTTTGCCGTGTTGGTGTTAATTTAAAGGATAAAAGTATAATTTGACGTCAACATTATGTCTAGTGACGTGTTTTGATATTGGTTAAGCGGATAACACAAAAATAATGACTATGATTGTGGGTTAGGATTCTGACGAAAGATCACATTTGTAGACTATAGTTGTCGTAAAAAGCGACTGTAATTCACAAACGACGCAAACGGAACAGCCTTGGGAATTGTGTATGACAAAAAAGATATATTATCATTGTGAAATTACACTTTTAGCCCTCAAATTAACACCAACATGATAGAAGATCAAAAAAGGACTATTTGTGGAAAGGTACCCATAAAAGAAGGACCACTTGGATAATATTTGATAATAGAGGACTAAATAGGGAAACCCCCTGTTATAAAGGACCACTTATAGAATTTACTCTTGTCCAAATGTGCAAGATAAAATTTGTCATAATTATATGAAAAAATGTTCTTTCCAACTAGAAATGAAATTTTAAACAAAAACAAGTATGGAATGACTTTTTGAACGTAAAAGAGACCCTGTGATCCAAACCTTCTGGGTCCACCCTGGTCGGGAGGTGAGTACCCCAGAAGGTAGGGTTCCTCATTTTGGTACATTTTTTGGTACCATTTTTATACATTTATATTGATATAATTAATTAGTTACCGCAGTCATACAAACTAATACGCAGAATAGAACTATTTTTGTCCTATTTTGAACAAATTTCACATATAATAATAATACTATAGTGTTGCATAGAAATTACATGAAACCATATCTCATATCAAAATGCTTGACATGAAGAAACAAAACATGAGTGTCACTCAAAACCCTCTTACTTTCTTCTTTAACCTCATCTTCCAGTGTGTTCATGGAAAGCCACAAAAGAGAGAACTATACTTAACTTGGTTGGATTGACCATATATAGAACAGATTGATCCAAATCTCAGAAAAAAAAAACCTGTAGTATAGCGCCTCGTGTAAGTCGCGTGCTTTCCTCCCATTCCTCGATTCAAAGCATGGTCACTTTCCAAGCCATGGAAAGCACGAACAGCCCTAGGAGAAACGAAAGTTTTGATAATAGACCCCATTTGGGGGGGGGGTCATTAAAACTATGTTCGGCTCAAGGAATTAAGAAGGCAAAGAAAAGAAAATGATTTTCTTCTCATTTTCTTTTCCTTCCACTTTTATTTTCTTTTCCCCTCTAACCAAACAAGAAAAGCTGTTTTCCATCTCATTTTCTTTTCTTTTCCCTTTCAAATTCCTTGAACCAAACATAGTGTAGGGGAAAGTTAGTTCTACATACCTTAGAATTTTCATTTCTGTAGTGTCTTTCATTGTTTGGGTCCGTTGATTCGGTTGTCTTGACAGGTACTTTCCCAGCTTCGTTCTGCTTCTCATCGCGCACTTTCTCAAACACTTGAGTGAACTGGTCTGCGGAAGATGGATCCGTCTCATCCCAGTCACCAAACTTTGGAACAACGGAGCTGTGATCAGGCTGCAACAAAAATGACACACCATATGATCATCGATCGTGTAGTTTAAGCACATATACCGCGCATAAAACTTTACTATAGAGTCTCACACACACACACACAGCCTTTGAGACACTATGGTGTCAAAGGTGGTGTCAAATGTGGGGTTCCATAGCTGTTTTCAAAACTTTTTCACAATGCTATTTATGAGTTGTGCTAGGGTAACCCCAACATTTTGGGGTTACTCTAGCTTTATCCGCTATATATAGGATGAATTCAAAATGTTGGTTAGTTTCAAACATGTATTTAACACTACAACACATGTCACCAGCCCCAATGCAGCTGGGTTTAATGTGGTGTTGTCCATACACAGCATTACTATACTTGATTCAACAACCAATAGTGATAGGAAACATAAGAAAATGGAATATTTTGTTTAGCACCAACTTTAGGTTAGAGAGGAAAAGAAAAGGAAAGTGGGAAAGGGGAAGCACCGACTTTTCTAAATATTACAAAGAATCTAAGTGTCGGGACATTCCCAAGTACCCAAACAGGGACAGGAAGCGGCACTTGTTTGAAAAATCCATGCAACATAGTCACATCCTCCATTGTGGGGGTATGAGTTGGTTCACAAAATAAACAAGGAATGGGATACTATTAAAATATTATAATTGGTTTAATGGAAGTAGCCTCTTGCAAAAAGGCAAGGTAAGGTCTGCATACATCACACCCTTATGGCGGGACCCTTATTAAGGCACTCGCTGCTCTTTACTATTCCTGCATTCTTGATAATGACTACGTAAACCATACAAATGCCCTTTTTGAGTGTATGTAACACCTACACATACACACACACACACACACACACACATGCATAATTATAAACTGACGTTTTATGTAAATATGAAATTTAATAATGATATACATACATACTGATACTGTACTGACACAAACACGACACATCAAATAACCAAAGTCTATTTGTTTTGGATATGAAGACATACACCATTTAAACACAAACATACGATATTTTAAATGTGTGCCCTATTCATCTAATCATAAAATCTTTTTCAGATAATTAGATGGACAAGAACACCAAACATAATTTCTTCCTCAATTAAACTCCACACCCTTAACCGTCCATTCTCTGAGGGTGAAGTTAAAAAGCTGGGGTTTGATATGCACCCTGATAAAAACCCCAGGACCAGAAGGACTGATTTCAGGTTTTCTGTATAACTTTCTGGTCACTGATTGGTGCGGATATCTCGAAGGCTAGTTTGATTTGCCTTAATAGTCACATCTTAAAATAAGTATATTTGTTTATCAAATCACAATGGCAAATTTCTAGAAGTAGCTATTATTGACTCGTGTTTGACAACACACACACACAATAGATATTAATGTAGGTTAATCTGTTTTTAGTACATAAGGAGCGTATTAGTTGTGTCTTTCTACTAGAAAGAAGAGTGATGTAACAAGCTTGAAACACTTACATGATTCAATTTGAGGGAGAGAGTAGAAAAAAGCTTAAGTTTCTTGAAACACACATGTAAATTTCAATAATTGCTGTTATAGATCATCAGTCACTCATTTAATTGTCCTTTTTAAAATATCTACAGGGGTTGTGAACAAAAAGTTGTATTCAGAAACATCTCTACCTCTTATAAGTAAGGGTAAGGTCAGCTTGGAGCCTTGGACCCATCCCCAAACCCCACCATGGGGATTCTAGTGGGTAGGTTGTTGTTGTAGGCAGTAAAAGAAAGTTGAGTGTTCTGGTACAAATAAAAAGAAGAGCATTATGTGTTGTTAACGGTTGTGCCTTTCTTCTTTAAGACACAACTACAAACCCACTTAAATCCCAAGTGGTGTTGAAATTGGGGTTAAGATGTAGGCAACCTTACCGAAACAGAGAGGCTGATTCTATCAAACCCTTGATGCATTTATTGTCCAAAATTTCATTGAAAGTAAGAAACACTGGAAACTTAATCTGTCGTTTTGATAATCCATTATTTACTCGAAGCTAAACCATTGCAAAAAATGACTCTTTGAACTACAATGGCCAAGGATGCAAAAGGATCTAAGGGAATAAGCTAATCGTCTGACACAATCTAATACTAAATAACTTTAAGCCTTTAATGTTGAACAGAATAATTCCTAATCCAAAATGTATAAAGAGAGAATGGGAAAGGACTTTACCGTTTCGTCACCTTTTATAACGGGTCTAAGCCGAGTTCTTGAAGGTGTTACAGGAGCTATTAATCCACG